GTTTACACATATGAAAAACATAAACTATAGTTCCTCTCACTGTTTTCATCAAACCATTCACAAATGCACTCAATACAATTGTGAATTCCAAACAAGCACTGTTTAAACGACCTTAGTTAAAGTTGCCCGTTTTACTTTGAACGCTATAGTATTTGTAAGACTTATTAAAGAGAAAATGTCAAATAAATTAAATTTTTGTTAAAATATGGAGATGTTGACGAGGAAAACGAAATCAGAAAATCAGATCTAATAAAACTAGTGCTTACCTGCATGACCTTCAAGTGTTTGTACAATCTCTTTAGACTGTAAATTCCATATGTAGACACGATTATCCTCCGAACCACTGACTATCCACTGAAATTTCTTTACAATACGACTGATCTCAGTGGGTTTTCCACTGAATTAAAAAAGACAGCTGACATGACGCAATTCAAACTTTTTATATTAATAGACAAAATCAAATATTGTTCTAAATACAAGCCTGTAGACTAAACTCAAAAAGAAAAAATTAAATTACCTTGCCACCAGTAACAGAAAAATTCGCAAAGATACAGTACTTCTCATTCTTATGTCCAGTATAAGTTTTCAAGCACTTGCCTTTATTGAAATCCCAAAGTTTCAGTGTGCTGAATAGAAATTTTTTTCTCTCCAAATTTCATCATATAGAGAACAAAATTAAGAAATTAAACAAAGACAATTCATTCCATATATATAGGAAGTATTTTAAATGATAACGATATACTACGAAATAATTTGTTTAGATTAGCATGAAAAAGCTCAAGTGTGTAGTCCAAACGAAACGAACAATTATGGCTATCTGGATGCCTTTCGGACAAACTCCTACAAGCCAGCATTCCTACAACCACATATAGCTTTTTAAATGTGAAAAGAAAATCGAAGCGAATTCCCATCGAAATATTAAAGAGAAACCATATTTATAATCATTTAGAATTCTTTAAAAGCTATTTTTAAAAATACATTGTTTGAATATTAAATGAAGACCAATATTATTTGAATATCAATAACAAACCTGTCTAAGGTAGCTGCCAATATATATTTGCCGTTTGGAGAAAACTTTACAAATGAAACCGGAGGATTATCATCATCTGCAGCATGCATATACAAGTAAATATAATATAGGAATAGGCAACAACAATAAAGAGCAAGGTATCGACAAACTTAAGTTACTGCATACTATGCACTTCGATAATCTTTTTTCTTTTAAATCAGCTATTAATTATGAAATATTCTAGAATAATGAAAGAGTCGTTCTATACTCTAAAGAGAGTTATAATATAAAGTCTTACCAACAAGAGTTTTAACGCATTGTCCATTTGCAGTATCCCAAATTCGAACAAGCCCATCGTAGCTACTTGAGCAAATCAGTGTTCCATCTCTGAAAGTACAACTCTAATAACAAAACTTTCAATTACTTACTGACAGTTGAAAATAATTTGTTCAAAATGTCATGCTAATTTATTATAGTTCCATAAACTTTCACACTCGCAATATTATTATTATCATAAAAGAACCAAAAAGCTGCAAATGGAAATATTAGAAAAAGACAATATAGACTTGTCGATATCTTTTACTGCTTAAGAAATAATATTTTCCAACATATACGTACTATATCTTCCTATTTCAGTCTAACGCTAAACAAGTTATGGTGATTACCTATTGAAGGAAACTGCAGAAACTGGATCAGAATGTGCAGGAAGGGTTTTAATGCATGAGCCCGTTTTCACATCCCAAACTCGAACACTTTCATCAAAGGAACCTGACACGACCAAAGACGATTGAGGATTGAAATTGCAGCAGAAAACATAATTGGTATGACCCTTCAATGTCTTCAAACACTTGCTCTGCAATATTCCATCTGTGTGAGATAAGTAAACTCGGCAGAAGAATGGAGGCAAAAATTCAGTAGCAATGTTCATATGAAATCATTCTGATTCTGATTTCAATCCTTATTAGTCCTAGCGACTTAAAAGAAATCACTTAAAATATTTTAAAATACGAAAGTCCTCCATCAAAAGCACCAAAAATTTGAATAGGCTATGCGATATATATAACTTCCAACAAAAGAATAAGAAGACACATACACTCATAACGTCCCATATCTTCAGTGTTTTATCATCCGAACAAGAAGTTATCAATCGATGGTCTGAGGACCAACAAATATCCGAGATTCCAAGTTTATGTCCGGTAATCGTTTTTTCGATCTTACCATCTTGAGTGTTCCAAACTTTGATTGTTTTATCAGCACTAGAGCTAGCTAATAATGAACCATCAGCACTGAATTTAACAGACGACACAGCCTTTGTGTGACCAGACAAGATATATTTGATGTCGTAATTTGGAACCTATAAAAAAATATAAAATATATTATCACGAAAAAGAAAAAATGGAAAAAAAACCTGTGAAATTACAAGTTATTTTCATTTATTTGTTGGATGAAATTACCGCTGCAGATGGTACATTCGTCGGATTATTGCCATTCGGTGTATTTGTTTTCTGATTATCATAAGCTGTTCGGGTGTTACCATCTCCTTGACTACTTTCCATTTTCTGCAACATTTGCTGCATTCATCAATTATGCAATACAAAAACATAATTACCACACTTGCAATAAAAATAAAAAATGGCGTCAACGTGTCATTGTAGCAGTGGAACACTGATTACCACATCTATTCTAAAAGATATTTCATTTTACATACGATTATAAGCAAGTTTCTTAGGAAGGATGTAACACGTCAATTCGGATGTCGTCTTATATATTCTTAAGAGAACATCATTTAAAAAGAATCCATACATGATCGCAAGTTTTATTTAAAAAAAAGAAAAAAAAAAGTATGTTGTAAAAGAATATCTCTGTCAAAAAAATATTTCAAAAAAAAAAAACTGATCTTGCTAACAGTAACAATTAAATGCGAAAAAGGATAGGGTGCGATAAATATGAGCATAATCAGCCATCCGAGGGATTCAAAAAGTAGTAAATCTCTTACAGATTGTTGCTGTTGTTGGTGTTGTTGCTGTTGTTGTTGTCCGCTATTTCCCGGCATTTGAATGGTCAAATTTCCATCACCACTACTGCCCAAATTGCCAATAATACCGTTGATTGAGTTGCTCATATGTTTATCACAATTACTACTACTACTATGCTTTTAATAACCTCCTTGTATCAATCCTGAAAACAACATCATGAATCGAATAACTCGAATACTTGAATATAGCGGAATTTCAAGTACACATGAATAAATGAACACATATATACATTATTTTTTCAAATACAAATCAATCAGTGTTAGAGTGAAAGATCATACACGTCACGTATATGTTCCTCACATTACTTATTCTGTTCAGTGAAATGCATTTTCCTTACTTTTACAAGAACCCTATACAGATTATGCAAATACTGTCACTTTGCTAGAGCTATTTCTATTTTCAGTTTAGTTAGCTCTGTATCTCTTCCTATGACCACTTCATCATGATTTCAAACTTAAAGTCCACCAAAACCTGAACTATCTTAACAACCATCAACCAAACGTATTCACCGATGAGTAATTCCTGGTTCGTACATCCTGAAATATTCAGGAATGAGAAATCCGGTTGTTATTAATTTCTGCCGTTGTGTAGAAGTCAGGGGTTACTCTTATTCTTTTCCCTCCTCATTTTAAATATCAAAATTGAAATGCTAAAATGAAGCAAAACTGGTTGTTGTATACACTAACTTGATTTACCATATACATTCCTCTTTTTTCACCAAATTTCCTTTCTCTCTCTCCACTACTCGTATCTCTCTTTTCTCTCCTTCCCTCTTCTTTCCTCTCTTTCTGGAAGATATGCTTGACCTCAATTATTGCTACATTGAAATGAGATATTGATTAAATTAATCTTTAATTCATTTCTGTAGCTTTTAATTTAACAGCCGCAGTATTGGTTAAATCATTTCAGATTTCAATTCACGCAGCTGCCACATCGATGACTTTTCTGGATTTTCTTTGAAAATTCATTTCACGTCCTGATCAATATGGGTAAAGAACAATATCGTGAATCAGATTTGGCACGCAAAGTGTTAGTTCCATTTCCTACGTATTCAATTTTCATTTTTTCTTTCACTTTGATTCCTTAGTCAATTCAATTTTCGTTTTTTTCTACCTTTGCTTTTTTAGAAGCCGTGTGCAATTTACGGCTGGTAATGCTGAATCAATGAGACAGGTTGCGCATATACCGATTTTCAATAGCAAATTGTATGATGAAAGTCCCGGCCGATGGGTTCCGGTTACCCATGGACCGCTCGACCCACGTTTAGTATGTATTGCATTTCCTCTCACAAAAATGATGAGTTTTTCTTGATAAAATATTTAGAATATACTGAGAAGACATGAATGAAATTGGTCAAGGTTTAGTTTTATTGGTTTTAAACGCTATTTTATTTATTATAAATATTAGCTAATTCAAGTTATTGTTGGTTCTCAAAGTAATTACCTTGTTTTCATGGAACGTGTCAAAAGCACACTGACTGCCAAACTTGTAAACAAAACTTGGTTGATTGTGTTGGTCATTTTGGTTATATTGACCTTGCAATACCCGTTTTCCATGTTGGCTTCTTTCGCCTGACAATACAGATGTTGCAATGCATTTGTAAAGTAAAATTTTGTTTATTTTCTCAATAATTGCTGAATAACAATTAAATGGTCGAAATTTTCTGTAGTATAGCAATGTTCTCGATAATTTTATGGTGAATCGTGTACATTTGTATTTTATATACAATCATCATAGTGAAGATGTGATTCACCAGGTATAAAATTTCCTAATTTGAATAATTTCAGTTTTGTTCTGCGATGTTAATTACTGGCGAGCAGAAAAAGACATTTTTGCAACAGGTTAATAATCCCAATTTGGATTATTTACGACGGAAAGCGCTTCATAAGCGTATCGTTGCTGTTAGCAAAAAAATTACTATTTGTAGTAGATGTGGTCATAAAAATGGTTAGTATATCAACGATGAGTTTATAAAAAGATGAAGAGATTGAAGTTTGGATAAAATTCCGATATAGAGGGTTGAGATTGAAAAAACTTTAGTTTTTTTTTTTTTGTTTTATAACTGTTTTGGGATAGCAATACAGAGCGTTATTTGGTCATGCTATTGTAGAGAAACACAGTGTATTAGATAAAATAATCGGCTTTCCTAATGATTGAATTAGGAAGCAAGAAGTTTGTCTGAGAATAGTATAAGAAGGATCTTTTTGTTTTTGATCAAACAATATGTCTTAGACAGAATAATGTTTAGGTATTGTAAAGAAAGCGGTTGGTACAGTATTAAAAATAGCGCATGCTGAAGCAATTTCTGCTGATAGTTATTCCGAATATGTTTATGCTGTGCAGGAAAATAAAGAATTACAAAATTTGCTACCAAAAACGAAATTCACTCTCTTAGATCCACTCCAAGTGCAAGTCTTGTTTAACAAAATTGACAGAGAGGTATGTGTAATATTATTGGACTAAAAAATGCTGTTTACTACATTTTTTAGGGTGAGATTTTTTTTTTTGACTCCTATTGCCTAGACCGAACTAGGTTTTACGGAATTTTGTGATTGATTTTCCCTAATTTGTAACTAGTGACATTTCATTCTCTTTATGCAGTGAAAGAATCTAGCAATCTTGAACCGCAAATTTTGGACTGATTGTGGGGTGTTCCAATAATTAATGTTATTTATGGCTAGACACTTTTTTTTGGAAGGAAGGCTAGGATATCGACTATTAAATTTTTGCGCAAAGCTACCCGAGAATCATTTTCCAGGATATACCACTGCTGATGGTGCGCTCAGCGGATACGCCGAAACATCCATCAGATGTCATTTTGACTAGAATACCTGTCCCGCCATGCTGTATTCGACCGTCTGTTGTGTCTGAGGTCTTTAACTGAAGTGAATGAAATTGAAATGCACTAAAAATGCTAACCTATTAACAGTTTGCAAGTAATATTCGACTTCTACTCATTGTACTTTCGGGGATTTTAATACTTCTGAATTATAGGTGAAATCGGGAACAACCGAAGATGATATTACGATGAAATTGTCTGAAATTATGTTGATAAATGATGTCATCGAGAAACACAAAAAGGAAGGTTCGCCGACTAAAACCATTTCGGAGACATGGGATCATTTGCAAGTAATTACAAAATTTAAGAAGCAAATAAGATTGTTTTGTAATAATACCTTCGAATAAACTTCTTTATTACTAGTTTTATTTTAAGATAGTTGTAAATCCATGCGCTTTTGAAATTATATAGATGTGGTATAATATGCTAAAAATCTAGTCGTTATTGTTCTTTTTGTCTTTTTAGGTTCAATGTGCGCTGTATATAAACAGTGAACTGAGTGGTTTACCACCTGACATGCAACCTAAAAGAGCAACGCGTGGATTTACACAACGGTTGAAAGGAAAACAAGGCAGATTCAGAGGAAATCTCTCCGGAAAGCGTGTTGATTTTTCCGGAAGAACGGTGAATATTTGTAAATTGAAGCTTAGAGTTCGTTACTTGTGAAAGTAAATGCTATTAATTTGATGTTTCATGCCAGAGAAAGGGATAAGCATGACATACACTTTGAATATAGCCATTTTCTGGACTGCTCGATTTAAAAATATCAAAATTTTCGGTCAGGATGTTTTCTGTCCAACAATCACATATATTTATCTGTGCTGTCGATGTTTTATTTCATAACTTAATTTAGACTGAGTTGTTTCCAGGTTATATCACCAGATCCAAATCTTAGGATTGATGAAGTTGGTGTTCCTATTCATATAGCGAAGATTCTTACTTTTCCGGAAATTGTAAATAAGGCAAATATTGAGCGAATGCGTAAACTGGTTCTAAATGGTGATGATATACATCCAGGAGCAAATCATATTGTGGAAAGAGCAACAGGCAACAAACGCTTCCTCAAGTGTGTTTATTCATGTGTATGTGTGTGTGTGTAAAACTTCATTAATTCGGTATCTTCTTTCTATTGAGGATCGACTTGACACCCAGCTTTGTCATAAATTTAAATAATAATTCCACTTATAATTTTTTTATTAAAGTGTGCCATGCTTAGCCGTCCAACTGCAGGTACGGCAATCGTGAAATCACTGCTGCGCAATTAAAAGTTGGTGATATAATTGAGCGGCATCTGGATGACAATGATATTGTGCTTTTCAATAGGCAACCTTCGCTTCATAAAATCTCAATTATGTCTCACAGAGCAAAAATCGTTCCTGGAAGAACATTCAGGTATATCATAGTTTATATCGCTTTAACATTACTCTCCAAATTTTTTAAACTGTTTGTTTAGCTTAGCATCAAAAATGGAAAAATTCGGATTTTAGGACCTTTGCAACTTGAATAATTAAAATAAGCTATGCGGTTATCTATTATTAAGCCCTGATTTTTGACTCATATTTCCCGAGAGTATCACAAAAATTGTCCCATTTTAGTTTTCTGAAGAATATTAGCCTCGCGATAATCTTTTTGTCTAATTTTTATCTTCACTGACACTGCACACTCCTATAGTACAATGGGATAATCTGATATGGTTTTTATTGGATATTTGATAGCGGTAATACCGCTTCAAATGATTTAGATTTAATGAATGTGCATGCACACCGTACAACGCCGATTTTGATGGTGATGAGATGAATTTACATGTTCCCCAAACATATGAAGCACGTGCGGAGGCATCTCTGCTGATGGGCGTCAAAAGTAATCTAATCACGCCGAGATCCGGTGAACCGCTCATTGCTGCGATACAAGTATGTTTATTTTGCATTTCTTAATTCTTCACTAAAAAGCATTTTTTAGGTACGGTGCTTTTTGAAGTTAATTGCAGACATATCTTGAACTTACACAACTCTCGAAAATACTGGGATTTTTTACTAGTGGAATGTGTCCTGGCGAAATATATAAAGTTGCAGTGAGCTAGGTATTTTTCCTGAAAGCTCGATATTGTATGATATCGGTAGTTTAAAATCAGCTCATCTGAATTATCCATAAGGTAATCAGTGAATGGATTTGGTTTGGTCATAAACATTGTTAACCTTTTTTTTCCTCTTTAAAGTAAAGTATTATTCATACATAATTTTTCCAAAGGTAGCTTCAATTTGTAGGATTTCATCACTGGTATCTATCTCCTAACACACAAGGATAGTTTTTTCCCTCGTTCGGAGATGCATCGTTTTGTGGCCTCTATCATAGACTCATGTTCGAAAAAGCAGTCAAGAATTCGAATACCGCCACCGGCTATTCTAAAACCAGTGGAACTTTGGACCGGGAAACAAGTGAGGCGATTTTTTCTGAATTGCATAATTAGTGGAGTATTTAATTACCGACGCAATGGAGTGAATAAACTCGATTTTGTCATTCACTGATTTTCCTTATAGGAAAGTAATTTCATAAGTCTGAAATAAATATATATAGTGTGCATTGGATTTCTAGCTATTCGTGTATGAGTTGTTGTTTCAAGATTTCATGCAAGCAAATAATTTCATCCATTATTGATTTTGCAGTTAGTAGAATTAATTGTAAGACCAGATGTGGATTCAAAAATCAATTTGAATTTAACTACAAAGAATAAAAGTTATACTGGCAATGAAGAATTTTGCGTTAAGGTTTGTTAAAAATAGATTTTGCCATGTCATTTTATTCAAATTGCTTTCATTCAGCTCTGTTTTAAACTAAGACCAGTTTATTACTCTCATGAATGTGGGAATATTATAAGTTAGTGCAAGCATTTCAGGATTCTTATGTAATAATCCGGAACAGTGTCTTGATATGTGGAGTACTGGATAAAGTATTATTGGGATCGGGCAGCAAAACAAATATATTTTACTTACTTTTGCGTGATTTTGGTGAAGATGCAGCTACAGATGCTATGTGGCGACTAGGCAGAATGGCTTCTGTGTTTCTCAGCAATCGCGGTTTCTCTATTGGTAATGTTAAATATTTTGGATTTTATGAATTTACATGAATGCGTAATCATTTCTGAGATTAAAATAGGATTTGCATATGCCAAAAGATTTTGAAGTATTTACTTAATATTTGAAAATGAGGCGATTTGTATCATCTCAGTAAGTAATATTATTTATTCTATAAATAAATTACGCAGGAAGCATTCCATATATGAATATCATAAAAAATTGATGCATTTTCAGGAATAGGAGATGTAAGACCAAGTAAAGCGCTATTGAAAGAGAAAAGTGATTTACTGAGGAATGGTTATGAAGTTTGCGATGATTATATTAAAAGCTTAAAAGAGGGGAAACTAAAAGCACAACCGGGTTGCACAGAATATGAAACACTGGAAGCGTTAATTTTAAAAGAACTTTCTGCCATTCGTGATCATGCAGGTCAAGCATGTCTGCGTAATTTGTCGAGGTTATTTTTATTCATTTTAGCTTTTCGGAGTCGAAAACTATGTACATTTACACCGATAATATTTTTGTCACATCCTAATTTTTAGGCACAATGCTCCACTCATTATGGCTGTTTGTGGTTCAAAGGGCTCATTTATTAATATTTCACAGATGATTGCATGCGTAGGTCAACAAGCTATCTCTGGACACAGACCACCGGATGGTTTTGAAGTATGTCATTATTTCTTTTAGTAACAAAATTGCGTAGAAAATTTTAATATCAGGAATTTTTACCAGTGTATTGTATTGTACTTTAGTGTTTATAACACCATTATAATGATAATTAAATGCTTATTGCAAGCAATTTACCTTAATTTATAAAATAAATAGTTTATTTGTATGAATTTTTTGATTTTAGTATTATCAGTCATGAAAGTGAGAAATATAAAAATACGCAAAACAACCAAAAATATTTTTTTATTAGTTAATTCTTCTTACTGTAGAATTCTTTATCAAGAAGTTTTCGTGGGTGAAGTTTTCTGTTGCATATA